TTTTCTAAGAGGCACTACACAAAGCTATTGGAGACCATCCACTTCTGCCAGTTAATTTCTGCTTCTTTTCCTATCCCTTTCTTTACTTATGAGAGTTGATCTTTCATATGTGAAATCAAGTTGAGTTTTGATATCAAGCCACTGCATGCTGCACTGGCAATAGGCCCCAATATTGCCAGATCCACAAGGGGAACTAGAGTCTGCTATGTAGACTTCACTGAGAAAGTAATATGTTGAAAGAAGGGGTAGGTGCTATATATTTTATGAGGGAATGTGTTGATCTGAAACATCTTTTTTGCAAGGAATACATCATACCCATTGTGGGGTTTATTTTGTAGGAAGCAGTCATCATGGAAAAATCACCAAAGTTAATCTGTCTGGTTAGAACAATTTCTGAGGGTGATAAGAAGGGTCCTGAAAATTTCAGGATGGTTGTTTTTTTGAAGGAGAGGAAGCTCTGAAGAACACTCCTTTTGCAACACTCCTTTTGCAAGTAGAATGCAATTCTACTGGTAAAAACAAAGAGAGAGCTCAATCACTAAAAATCAGTGGAATCTTTCTGACCAGTTTGTGGTAAGTATAGCTATTTAACTTGTCCCTTTCACACCACACAGATATATTCTAGCCTATGGATCCTGGGATTTGTAGTTTTCTGTGACACTTTGAATTTTATTCTTTAAAAAATAGTGCCTACAAATTCCAGGATTCCACAAGATGGAGCTTAGGCAATCAAAGTGTTGTCAAAGTACTATAACTCTATTGTGTGAAGAGACCTCTTGCTTAACTATGGGCTCATCCAGTTGGGCCATTTTGAGTATTTTGTGCTATACCATTATCTGATGTTCAATGTCATTTCTTGTTGCTTCCCCTCCCAAATGCAGGTACCTGGCCTTTTAAAAATCACTCTTGGTGGTGTAGTTCATAAATGTGGCTCATTTTTGTTTGTTTGTTGATGTTAGCTGATGAATGTTGTGGGTGGGATGTTAGCATCTTGTGTGAAAGTCAGGTCTACTCAAAGTGGTAATCTGTGGGCCAGTGCCAGTTCGCAAGTTATTGGCTACTAGTCTGTGATAAGTTTCCAGGAAAGAACAAAACAATTGTAGTCAGTGGATACCAATATAGTGGTGTTCCCTGGTGCATTGGGGAGAAAGCCCTGCTGGACCTCTATATCAGATAGCTGAAAAAGCACTGCCTAGACTCAACCTAGATTCTACTCCCCATCATAATGAAATATCTGCAGGAATGCAATTCTACTGATCATTTTATGTCAGGCATCAAGCTGGGCAGCCATTTTAGCTTGCTGATTTAACACTGATATGGAGAGCTGAAGCAGTAATATTGGAAGGTGGGGACAGAAAGAGGGGAGGAATTCTGCTGCAAATATTATGCAAAGTTTTTAATTCTCAACCTAACATGTTCTCACATACTCTATATGATCAAGCTGAAATGGCTACCGACCTGGTAGAGAAAATGAAGAACTAGAAGTATCTTATAAGATGTTCAGTAGAACTTCTCTTCTCCTTTTCCATCCCCCTTCCTGGTCTTTCACCATTTTCAGCCTCATGATCTAGTGCTAATATGGAAAGGTTATGAAGATCTACGGGCAGGGGGACTCCAAAATAATTGAATGAGCAGGAATGGGGAGTTGGCGGAGAGATGAATTGGCAGTTCTGTATGTAGTGGCCACCAAGAGAATTTTAGCTTGCCATCTTAGCACCAATGCTACACAGAATTTTTAATTCAAAACAAAACAAAACAAAACCACACACACACGGCTTTGGAAGAAGAGGACAAGGTAAAGATTCCATAACAGAAGCAGAACTGGGAACTGAAGTTAAAATCAGGAGGGAAGCTAGAGGACTGTACATACCTACAGCTACCACTCCAGCCCATGTCACCAAAAAACACCTACAGATGAACCAAAATGTCCAGCCTTTATACACAACACTTGTTGAATTGCACACCAGAGATTAGGTCTGTGTTTTTAAGACAGTTTCAACAAAAGGAATAAATAGAGTCAAGATAGAATGGAAAATGAGATGAGAAAGCGTGCAATTAGCAAAACGTCATTTAGATCTTGGGATGGTGGTGGAAAGTACAGTACAGAAACTCATCATTAGCTGGTATATTTGGTTTCTCTGGATGAGTCCTGTTAGCACACTTTTCTAAGAGCCTTAATGCATTACAAAAGAAAGATGAAAGGCAATGAGATAGAAGCAACTTTCTGTTTACCTCTCTGCATGCCTTCAAAGCACTCTCATTCTCTTCCTGAAGGAGACAGTCATAAAAGCATGCCTTTTGTTGTGCTGGAAAAATCTGTTTGGCAAAAGCCATGCTTTTACATCCGCCTCCTTCTGGAGGGAGAACAGAAGTGGTACGATGGCATGCAGAGAAGTAAACAGAATGCCACTTCTATCTCGCTCCCTCTTGTCTTACTTTTATAATGTGATAAGGCTCAAAAGGATGCACTCAACTAGCAGTAAGTCCTTGAAGTTCTCACAGACACCTATCTTTTTTGCATGCTACATCAGAGGTATCCTGGCATAACAGTCTTCCCCACCTTTTCTTATATTGCAAAAGTTACTTTGGCTCACTGTAATGCTCAAAGTTCCAGAGCCATGCTAGCTGGAGGATCCTGGTAGATGATAGTCCAGAGTATGTTTCCAGCTTCTGGCTTTAGAAGTGTTCTGACACAAGAGATACAATGAAATCCTCTGTGGCTGCTGACTTCTTTCACTAGTATCAAGTGACTTACTAGGGCTAGGCATTCGTGTCCAAAGTACTACAAGATGCCACCAAGTTATTCCAGAAGCACCATTTTTATTTTATTTTTCCCCTTCCACTCCTACGTTGTGAGTTCGATCCAAGGGCTACAAGGTTGACTCAGCCTTCAGACCTTTCATAGGCTGGTAAAATGAATACTCAGCTTGTTGGGGGAAATTGGCAATTGGTTTACAAATTGTAAACCGCTTAGAGAGTGTTGAGTTCACTATTAAGTGGTATAGAAATGTAAATGCTATTGCTATTGCACTCCAAATTACTGTAAGTTGGAGAGGGATAATTAGTTATCCATATTTATAGTCATGTTGACTTTCCTGCGCACAGGGACAAATTAAATTAAGAGTTAAATATTTTAAGCATTTAGTAGACCAAATGTTATCGTTTTATAGGTATAGCTAGCCTTTCGGATTATTTCTTCTCACAATAATTTAAGAGAAAGGTTTGTAGAATGTTGTCTCTGAAGGTCTACAGTTCTGAGACTGAGGTCCTCTTGTTTTTGAAACTGAAGATAAAGAGAATGGAAAAATGAGTCTGGAGAACAATGGAAAAATTCATTGTGAATTTCAGAACAATTAAGTATGGTGCCTTAAAAATTACAAACTTTCTGTGACAATCTTTGGTGGATGCTTTCATCTTTGTCAGATGCATGAAGTTTTATTTCACACATGAACATACACAGAGAAAAAATGTAGACAATGGGTGCATTCTTAGGGAGACAATACATCCCCATGTACCCATGTGTGCTATACACTTAGATAGCTATAGCTATATTTCTATAGCTGTAGAAATAGAAAAAGATTTAGATATTTAGCTACCAGTTGTTGGTGGTTCCGATACATTCCAAAATTGGTCTATACATTTTCTGGCTGCCAAAAAGAGCCATAGTATCAACTATAAATCTACAGGCTCAGTTTTTATCTTTCAAATAATTGTATGTAATTTTAATTACATAGCTAGTGCCACCTTTTCGATTATAATAAGGTTATAATTCTTAAATGGCCTGAACCACAGAAAGCTCCAGGAGTGACATTTATCTCTAAAAATAAATATAAAATAATATAAATTGTAAGAAGAGAGAGCTAACCAGAGACTGTGTCCTAGATTCAACAGACATGGAGCTGGTCATTCCACTACATTTAATTATTGGACAAGCAGGGGTGCAAGAGACAATGCGTACATGCAATCCACTATGCGAGACACACTTAGCACAATGCTTATTGGTTGTGCAGACACTTGCAGAAATGACATTGAAATCCATCACTCACTCGTTTCTTCACCTCAGATGTGCAGGCATCTTGACTACTTGGTGTATCGGGAACTGCTTCTTAGGCTCACATTGTATTATAGTTGCACGGTAGAAAGGGCAAGCCTAGATCCCTCACTTGCATTGATGTTAGAAATTCATTACTGCTAGTACAGTGTACATTGATAGTACAACAACACCATTCAGGATTGAGCCAGTCGTCTACAGTGGAAAGTGAACTCTGCTGTTTGCTCAGATTGCCTAGATTGGATAAATAACTATCACAATCTTAGCTAGACTTTTTATTTTTGTGCTAATGGCAGTAGTTATTAATATAGAGGCAAGGAACACTTGGTCCTCTAGATACGATTGGACTCTGGTTCCCATCATCTCTAGTCACTTGCTGGTTCAGGCTAAGATCATGAGTACCCAGCTTGTTGGGGGCAATTAGTTTACACATTGTAAACTGCTTAGGGAGTGCTTAAGTGCACAGATAAGTGCTATAGAAATGCACTTGCTATTGCTATTTGGAATCTAGCAACAACAGGTTCCCCACACCCTGAATTAATGCTTCACAGAATGTAACACTTTATATACAATGGGCCCTTGGTATCTGCTGGGATTTGATTCCAGGATCCCCTGTGGATACCAACATTTGTGGGTGCTCAAGTCCCATTAAATACAATGGCATAGTAAAATGGTGTACCTTATATAAAATGGCAAAATCAAACTTTGCTTTTGGAATTCTTTAAAAAAAATTTTTTCCCCAAGCTGTGCATGGTTGAATCCATGGATAAAGCAACCCATGGATATAGAGGGCCAACTGTATGTTGGTTCCAGATTCTTTAAAAATATTTGTGCTGTTGTGTCTCATGTGGTCAGTGCTTGCAACAGAGAACATATTCCAAGTTAGAACCGAGTGAGTCTTTTAAGGAAAAGAAAAAATGAAGGATAAGTTTTTAAAAGCTGCAAATCCCCCATTGTGGCGCAGTGGTTTGAGTACTGGACTACAAATCTGGAGACCTGGGTTCAATTCCCTGCTTGGCCATGGAAACCCAGTAAGTGACCTTAGGCAAGTCACACTCTCTCAGCCTCAGGGGAAGGCAATGGTAAACCTCCTTTGAACTAATCTTGCCAAGAAAACTCCATGATAAGTTCACCTTAGGGTCACCGTAAGTTGGAAACGACTTAAAGACACACACCAACAAATTTTTATGGCCGATGGGGGGAATCCAGAGAGGTATGGAAGTAATTTGGGGCACTTACAAAATGGCCTGCCGGTGGTACCTGTCTATTCTGTAGGTGTTCACGTGGAAACCTGACCATGTGATTGTTAGTCAGGACTTCAGCATGAAAGGAAGATGCAGCTATCTTAGGTTCTTTGTTTATTATAATCAATAAATACCTCAGCCCAGAGAATCTTGTGTGAGGTGATGCAAAAGGCTGTAAAGGTGGGAACAGTTTCTTCAACCTACAGACAATTAAGTTGACCATCTAGCTAGCTGTGCAAGATCTCTGTATGCTCACCCTTCTGTGCTAACCACGATTCCTCCCCAAGTTGCCCTTTTTTCCCCTTTTGCATACATGTAGGCTTGTGTAAAGAAGAGCAATTATATATGCACAAGTCCATTTGTATATCTGAGGTATTAAAAATCCACTTTCATGGATCTCCTTCAGCTGGGAGAGCAGAATGAAAAGTGGGGTGTCACCATGGCTTCCAGCATGTCACTGAACCTTTGTGCCTCAGTTTCTCCATCTGTAAAATGGGGGTGATAAACCAGTCTACCTCACTGGGATGTTGCAAGAATTGTTTGACTACTGAATGTTTTGGGGGAAAATTTCAGGTTCTTGAGTGCGAGGGCCTATGTAAATGCAGAAAGTTTTTAAAAAGTGAATAAATAAAAAGTAATGAGTACAGTGGTTGCATTCGCTGAGGTTAGGGGTGAAGGACCCCTGTGAATGTGGAAAAACCGCAAATTAAAAAACCACCAGTCTTTCTCCGTAAGAGATCACTTCCCTAGGAATCTCCAGGTCCTCCAGTGCAGCTCTATGGTCAACATCTGCCAGATATTGATCATAAAACTGCACTGGAGGACTTACAAATGCCTAGAGAAGTGTTTTCTCTAGGAATATCTAGGTTCTCCAGCACAACGCTCTGGTCAACCTCCAGCAGAATTGCAATGGAGGACTTAGTAATGCCTAGAGAGAACATATTAATCAAAACCACAAATAATCAAATCTGCAAAAGTCAAAGCCGCAAATGTGGAAGGCCAACTGCACACAAACTCAGCAGTCTATTGCTCATTGATAATTTGATGTTAATTATAAAGAGTCATTGGAGAAACTGAGTTAATGCATATGCATGAGTCATTCTGGGATGGCAGAATACTGTAACCATAGTCAGCAGTGGTGCAGCTCCATGAGTACCATGGGTTTGCCCCAGAGCAAAACATTGTATGTGGTCACTATGACAGAATGCTGCTTTTATAGGACAATGTCTCCTGCTGTGTAAATAAAGATCTTGGCTTCAGATTGCTATTTATATTCACATGCATAACTTATTTGCTGACAGAAGACAATTATTGAGATGCTACATTTGGTGCCATGGGCACAATTTCCCAATGAAATGCTACTAAATGAATTCTGTTCTGGAGCACTTAGCCCATAGTTAATGTAATATGCATATGTACATGTACAGAATAAAGCGTTTTGAAAGTCTTAAATATCCAGAAGGATTTTTAGCAACTGCAATCATACATTCTGGATGTGTGTTTAAAGCTCCGGAGTCTTTTTAGTTGTTTAAACCATTCTCTTGAACACACTAGTCTGGCAATGTATTTGCACTCTATTATTGGCTCAACAGAAGATCCAAATAAAAACAAAATGCATCACCATTTTCTTGCACCTGCAGTTCATTCCCACAACTATTTATCAAACAACTCTCACATGCAGAGCCATTGGGCATTCTAGGAGTCATGGTCCAAAAAAGGACTTTTTCCAAGATCTACTCATAGGTGACAGACCCAGGTTCACTTAGCCATGGATACCAAAGTGATCTAAGGGCAATTCACTCTCTCACCTCTTTTTCAAGGTTGTCTGAAGGACTATTTTCCCATGTGAACCTGCTGCCCATGTTTTGAGATCTGGGGAGGTCCTTCTCTCTCTCCCACCACCCTCATAGGTATTTCTGGTGGGAATATGGGACAAGGCCTTCTCAGTGGATGCTCTTAGATCTGGAACGCCCTAGATTTGTTAAATGCTCCCTATGCTATCTTTCTGTGGGAAGATAAATTACGTTTTTGTCTCAACAGCTCTTAGAAGACTGGTTGCACAAGGGGAAAAGGCCTTGCATAAAGTGCTGGATTTTCTATTTGTTGTTTTCCTTCAAGTGGTTTATGTTTTTAGCAGGTTTTAATGGTCACTTACATTTATAATTTTTGTATGTTGTGAATATTTAGCTATGCTTTAACTGTTGTATGTCTCCTTTAGAGAGACACCATGGTGTAGTGGTTTGAGTGTTGGACTATGACTCTGGAGACCATGGATCAATTCAGACATCAAAGCCATTGGGTGACCTTGGGCAAGCCACATGCTCTCAGCCTCAGGGGAGGACAATGGCAAACCTCCTCTGAACAACTCTTGCCAAGAAAAACCCGTTATATGTTTGCCTTAGGGTTACCATAAGTCAGAAATGACTAAAGGCAGATAAGAACAACAACAAATAAGAAATTCCACCTCAAATCCCAACTGGGAAAAGGGCAGGATATAAATAATGGCTGGAATCTTTGATCATAGTTATGTATGTGTGACCTAGAGCAGGGGTAGGCAACCTTTCCCCTTTAAGGGCCGAGGGACTTCAGCTCCCAGAAGCCTCAGCCATGTTGGCCAATAGTCCCATGTTGGCCAATAGCTCCTGGGATTCTGGGAGCTGAAGTCCCTCAGCCCTTAAAGGGGAAAGGTTGCCTACCCCTGACCTAGAGTTACACACCCATGGCGGTTATGTATTCATGATCCGTACGTAGTTCCTGTTGATCTCAGTAGCTGCTTTCTGGTAAGTGGAGACTGGGATGGGAAGTCAGGCTGAGATAAGGACATAGGACTTAACTTGCGAGATGTATTTTCAGCAATGGAGGGGAAAACATCCTATAGTGGATTGTTCCTCCTCTTTGCTCTAGTTTGAAGTTGTTGTTGCTGTGTGGCTTCAAGTTGTTTCTGACTTATGGCAATCCTATCATGGGTTTTCTTGGCAAGATTTGTTCAGAGGTGATTTTTCATTGCCTGAGGCTGAGAGTATGTAACATAAGGTTACCCAATAGGTTTCATGGCATCAGGTAGGCAGGAAAAAAAGTCATGGAAGCAGCCACCAGGAGGACCAACCTACTAAGTCCTCAGTCCATGGTAACAGCTGAGCACATGAATAAATGGCAAAGCACTCACACAAGAAAATTATGGAAGCCCTAAAACAATAAAGAAGTCACAGAGGGAAGGCTGAGAATGCCCTATCTATCCACACCTTTACCAAAGAAAGAAGAACCCTCAGTTCAGGGCAGGAAAGGTGTTTTGCCCTCCAGTGCTGAAAACAGATATCTCACAGGTAAATCCAATATGCAAAGGGATCTTGTAGCACCTTTGAGACTAAATGAAAGAAAGAAGCTGGTAGCATAAGCTTTCGTAGTCTTGAGTTTACCATATATACTGTACTATGTCGACTTCTGTATACAGTATACCATATATACTGTACTATATACTGTACTGTAAGTCAAGGGAAGTTTTGGGGACCGAAATTATGGATTTTGCTATGACCCATGGATAAGTTGAGGGTAAAACATTGGGGCATGTAACAAAGGATTTAAAGGATCAAGCAAAGAAAAATGATGCCAAAGAACTCACAAAATCCCAGCCAACATAACTGTTTGTGCTAACGCTAAAGGCTGTGCATTTGACCAGGGTATGGTTCCTTTATTTAAAAAATAAGAGTTAAAGTACAGTTACTTACATTGATCTGTGTGTAAGTTGACTCAGGTTTTTTGGGTTAACTTTTTGACTAAAATACCTAGACGTATACATGAGTATATGGCAATATACTCAGAGACTACAAAAGATGCTACCAGATTCTTTCTTTCAGTTAGGGGCGAAACAGACCACCCCAAAGGAGTAGCTCTGTGCCGCCCCTTTGCTTTCCAGATCAGGGCTGCGGCAACCGCACGCCGTAGCCCCGATCTGGCATTTTTCTGCCCCCAAAAGAAGTGGCAAAATGCCTCTCTGTTTAGAAACAGAAAAAAAGTTGCCCTTGCCACTGCAGTGGCACGTTTTGGCGCTCCTTTTTTGTATGCAGCATGTAGTTGCCACACTGCTGGAGCACTGCAACACTGCCCACTGTCTGGTTGGGTGTGTGGCATGGCGGTGGCTTGGAGGCAGAGTCGGGGAATGCTGCCACCAGGTCCCCACTCCACCCCAACGCAGGCCCTTTTGGCTGGTCTACACAGCCAAAGTCTCAAAGATGCTGCAAGATCTCTTTGTATACTGATTTTCCAGACTAATACAGCTATGTCTTTGAAGTCTATCAGGTAAGTCCAATTTTCTTTTTTCCAGCAGCGTAGGGAAAACATCCTGTAATGGGACACCAGAAATCTCCCTGACCAATGGGTGGGTGAACTGAGGATGATTATTTAAGGAGCTACAACAGACTGTAGGACATGTCTACCAAAGGAGGCCTCTGCTAATGGAAAGGTGTCCAAATGTAGTGATGTACAAATATGAGAGGCCGGGTGTGCGTGTGTGTGTGCTGTGCTGGAATTTACTGTGTAGCACCATAACTACAATGCTTACGTTTCTGTAAATCCCATACAGGATTCTATCCAAAATCTCTAGGTATGGTCCAAATCAAATTAAAATATAAGCACAATACAGTTTCAAATAACCAAAAAAGACTTGAATTAAAAAAAAAACAACCACAATACAACCTGGCATATAATTTAAAAGCATATCAATCAGAATAATCAAAATCTTAATCATACTTGTGATCTTTTTCAGGTAAATGAATAGTA